CTGAATCGTTATAGAGATTCAAGTCTTTTTTTTTTTTTTTTCTCTTTTAATTTTTCAACGAAATTCCTCTCCCACTCATGGAAATCGACTCTTCCGATCCTACCACCGTACCACAAAACGGAACCAAACCGCACGATGATCAGGAAGGAGGAGATTTTTCAGAGGTCGAGATCGAGAAGAAAGAAGAAAATGTCCAGGATTCAAACCCAACCACCACAACACGGGCTTCACAAGGTAACTCCGAAGCCGAAGAAAACACCAACGAAACAAAGGAGGCAAACGGAACCGTTGAACCAAAAATTAACGGCCATATACCAAACATCAAGTCTCAAGTTCAGCTCCCACAGCCTCAACCACCGCAACCTAGAGTAGAGCGATTGCAGTCGACCTTGTCTATGACCGATAGCTTTCCAGCGATCGGAAAATTCATCAGAGAAAGAAGTAGCAGCTTCTCCGCGGCGATCACGAAGCGATTAGCGTCGTTGAGAGAAGACAGTACTGGCTACGGTGACTTTATCGTAAAGAACGATTCGGTGAATTTCGAGGTTACAGAATTCAAAATTCCAGGGGTCAAGGTGATAGTGAAGCTCAAGAGCGAAGAAGAAAAGGAATATCAGAAAGGAATAATAAGTTTTTTCTCGAGATCAAACAGTAGGGATTGCACGGCTGCCCGTTCGTTCTTCCGTCAGAAAGGGTTGAATTTCGTGGAGATCAACATCGACGTGTATCCGAAGAGAGAAAAGGAGTTATTAGAGAGGACGGGAAGCTCTGAAGTGCCTCAGATCTTCATCAACGACAAGCTGTTTGGAGGATTGGTGGCGCTGAATTCGTTGAGGAACAGCGGAGAATTCGATAAGAGATTGAGAGAGATAATGGGGGATAATTGTCAGAGCAATGGACCGGCACCACCGGAGTATGGGATTAACGACGACGAGGAGGAATCGGAGGATGAATGGGCCGGAATTGCGAGGATTTTGAGGGAAAATTTGCCTGTTCAGGATCGGCTTCTGAAGATGAAGCTGGTGAAGAATTGTTTCGCTGGAAGTGACTTGGTGGAGGCCATCATTCAACATATGGACTGTGGGCGGAAAAAGGTTCGTCACTGTTTAATTTCAACTTTTAATTCCGCTGGTTGGTTATCATCCTTATTCAGTGCTATAATTTCTGACTTTGATTTTCATAAAACAAAATTAGTTTTTATTGCAATTTCGATAAAATTATTTAAAATTAATGACACGAAATAAAAGTTATGATGTTATAATGTTTTAAATATTAAAATTTTTTAAAATTATTTAAATATTATTAATAAAATTTTTT